GGTTCCTACCATTTTTGTCCTTTATCATGTCCATCTTTGCACAAAATAGAGAGGTTACCTACCTGTAACCATGGTTCTCCTCTGTGAATTCACACGTGGGTTGTTCTGCATCTGCGCAGGACGTTTCGTAAATTTCTAGAGCTTAAAAAAACATTTTACAGTGAGACATCCCCAATGGAGCACAAGCTCCGCCCTCCAACCGGCATCTCAGTTCCTTCCATAGTCCGCAGCTGTCAAGGTAATGTATGTTAAAAGACAATGTGACAGACAGAGAGGAGGAACCGAGGGATTGTGTGAATTCACAGAGGACCACTAGAAGAACAATGGTTACAGGTAGGTAACTTCTCTTTCTTCTTTGTGCCCTCTGTGAATGCAAACAAGTGGGTGACTCACAAGCTCACTTACCGGATGGTGGGACATCACGGTAGCAGGGATGTCAGGATCGCCCTGCCGAATGCAGCATCATTCTTAGCTTTGACATCGAGGCAATAATGCTTCACAAAGGTTGATGGATTAGACCAGGTTGCTGCTCAGTAGATGTTCGGTATTCTATTCCATGATGTAGAGCAGTGGATGTTGACAATGCTCTGGTGGAATGGGCATTTAATTGTTCAGGAGGTGTTTTGCCTGAAAGCTCGTATGCCAGTGATATGGTTTGTACTATTCAGCAGGATATGGTTTGTGATGATGCTGGAGCACCCTTATGGGGACCTTGAAAACATACAAAGAGTCTTGGTGACTTTCTGAATGCTCTTGTCCCATTAGTATAGAAAGCTAAGGCCTGTCAGACATCCAGCATGCGGAGCACGTGCTCGATCGGTGTAGAATTTGATGGGAATAGTGTTCGTAAGATCAACGGCTGATTCATGTGAAATTCAGATACCACTTTAGGAAGAAAAGACACATCAAAGTACATAGTAACTTTCTCAGGATGAAATTGTAGATACTGTGGGTCTGATCGAAGAGCTGATAATTCGCTGGCTCATTTGGCAGATGTTATTGCCACCAGGAAAGCTGTCTTCACTGATAATAGTATGTCATTACATTTAGCCATTGGTTCAAAAGGTGGTTTAATGAGAGAGTTTAGAACTAATTGTAGTGACCATTGAGGTATGATTTGTTGTTTTGGGGTTGAATATTTTGAAGACCTCTTAGAAATCTTTTTAAAGTTAGGTGTGAAAAGAATTTTGCTGATATGACCTCAAATGTTGCAATCTGAGTTTTACAGTTGGTTTTGTCAACTTTTTACATTTGGGGCATGATTGGATTTGATGTTCTTTCCCCAAGCAAAATAAGCATTTGTCCTGCCCGTCTGTAAGTGGGATTTTCTTATCGCAAAGAACACACCGTTTAAACGGTCCGTGAGGTGCCATAAAAATGGGAAGAGAGGGAAACCATTGTTGGTGGGGAAGGGGGGGAAATCTGGGAATCTGAAAACGTTGTACGCAGGGTAAAAAAATAAGTAATCAACAGGGGATGTAAAATAATGATTGTAATAGAATTTAAGAGTTCAATTAAGGGGAACAGATATTTTCAATGAGTAATACAGTTAAACACTCTACTTGTTCCTAACGTTCTAACCTTGTGGTGGAAAAAAAGGAACTGAGGGGACGGTTGGAGGGCGGAGCTTGCGCTCCATGAGGGTATGTCTCACTGTAAAATGTTTTTTAAGCTCTAGAAATTTCCGAAATGTCCTGAGCAGGTGCAGAACAACCCACCTGTGTGTATTCACAGTGGCCACGAAGAAGTTCCTTTAATATGTCCAGTTTTCTTGAAAAGATCTCTGGTTTTTCCCTTTCTATTCTTTTCCTCTATTTCTTTGCATTGTTCATTTAAGAAGGCCCTCTTGTCTCTCCTTGCTATTCACTGGAAGTCTGCATTCAATTTTCTGTAACCTTCCCTATCTCCCTTGCATTTTTTTTCTCCCTTCTCTTCTCTGCTACTTGTAAGACCTCGTTGGACAGCCACTTTGTTTTCTTGCATTTCCTTTTCTTTGGGATGGTTTTTGTTGCTGCCTCCTGTACAGTGTTACAAGTCTCCATCCATACTTCTTCAGGCACTCTGTCCACCAAATCGAGTTCCTTAAATCTGTTCTTCACTTCCACTGTGTATTCATAAGGGATTTGGTTTAAATTACACCTGACTAGCCCAGTGGTTTTTCCTACTTTCTTCAGTTTAAGCTTCAGTTTTGCTATAAGAAGCTGGTGATCAGAGCCACAATCAGCTCCAGGTCTTGTTTTTGCTGACAGTATAGAGTTCCTCCATCTTTGGCTGCAGAAAATATAATCAATCTGATTTTGGTATTGTCCATCTGGTGATTTCCATGTGT